CCCAAACCCCATGGCTTTCTGCGTTTGGCCTCAGCGCGAAGGCACTTCTTCCCGCGTCGCGGCGCTTCTTCCAGCCGCTGCGGCGTCCGCAGGCGGCGGCGGCGGACGAGGCGCGACCGCCTGGTGGGCGCATCCAGAGGCGGCCAAGCCCCGTCCAGGGTTGCAGAGATGGTGCATGTGGGCGCAAGAGGAAGAGGAAGATCAGCATTCGGTGCTTGATCCAAAACAAGACCAGTGGGGATAACCACATGCTTGCCTAAAACTACTTAAAGCACCCAGATGCAACATTACCCGTCTGGAAAAAGGTTCATTCTAAAGACCAGGCGGCTGAGAGGTTTTCACTGATCGGAGTCAATCCTTCAAACACAAAATCTGGGGCCTTTCAACTCAGGTTTCATTGGGTGGAGCAAAAGTGGGGGCTCTCCATTCACCTGGACAATCTTTTCGAAGTTCTTTGACGACTACGATTACGACTGTCGATTTTCATCTATTTTGCTCCACATCCTCACAAGTAGTCACATCCCTCACGTGACTGGAAAACCCATCTACCTCAGAATCTACCAGAATGCAAGTTGATCCGTGGATGTCCCCAAATCAAATGCGTCCCACGGGCGCCCGCGTCATGCGTTGTTCGTCATGTGTGCGTCTTTCCCCCACCTCTCCAAGCTCTCTGCCTGGCCGGGGACCGGGAGGTTGAGAGAACCAATGCAGTCTGTTTCAGCAGCTTGGTACACGTCATAAGAAACACGTCATGCCGTCATGCTTGGTATATTGCATCATACACATCCAATGAGAAAGGCCACACACCCGAGGCACTTAATGAATATATTCCTCATTCTGTGTTGTTCACACTTTTCTGCAGGATTGGATTTGTTGATGATCTCAAAGCCTTCTTTCAACTTCTTTCTTAAAGCGTCAAAGAACAAGTCTGAACCAGGCAGATCCGAGAGGGTACCATGTCTGAAGGCAGCCTTCGTTTCGCTGCACCAGGCAGTCTGAAAACTGCTTGCCCTGCACCGAGCCCCATCGAACGGGTGGCACCTCTGTGTCGCATCGCCACCCATGAGAACATCCGACGACGGGCCGTGTCGATCAAAGAAGCGACGCAACGACTCCAGCGTTATTTTTTCCGACGAACAGACACGACGCAACGATGAAGAAGAATCACTATATAGGAACATATTGATTTGTGTATAACATTCAGCTAAGGGCGTAGCTGAATACCAGGCTTGATGTTAGTGTCAGTGTTATTCACTTCAGGTTACTTCAAGTGCATTTTGTGGGTTCATGTCAGGTAGGTCTGGTCCATGGTCTACTCAGGGTAGGTAGGTGTTGAATAGTCAGTAGCTGTGAAGGACGCCCAAGTGGTCTGTGAGTGACTCCACTGCAAATTGATACAATCATGTTGAGCCAACCTAAGATCGAATGCAAGCAGTTTCCGGCAGCTCAGACCTGGAGAGACTCGGCAGCATGTGAAAACTCGCCCACCTGAAATGAGAACCACCTAGAGAAAAGTGGAAAGGGGCCAAGTGATTCGCATCCCCTCTTAAAGTTTTTGGAGAGTCTTGCAGCTTAGGAGGCTTTTATCCTTAGCCCTGGAATCCTCTCATCGAGCATAGAATCTGTTGGAGAGCATGTACTGGATCTTTTGGTTTGAATAGTAGACTCTTCGGAGTAATGATCTTTCTTGGTTTCTCATCTTTTATACCACAAGCCGGCACCTGTTGTTTCAAGCAAACAACGCACAAGCAATTTCTCCGATCCTCAATATATATATATATATATATACATATTATATTAATATATATATAGAGAGAGAGATCCTTCGTATTGCAGCACATATTGAAATCGCTTGGTTTCATGCACATTCATCACTCGCGCAGAAATGGCATGGCGCAGTCTGTCAGCTCTACAGAAATGATTCGGGTTACCCCCTTAAACCTTAAATCCAGTTCAAGCGCATCTCTAGCATCAGAACTCTTTGATCTATTTATTGCTACAGGGTCTCTCACACCGTGTGAGTCTCGGTCTGCTTCCTCATCCCGCCTCCACCCTTGGCCTTGGCTTGTCTCACTTTCACCTGTGCAGTGTTGGTGTCGGTTTGGGCCGTGCCACGTGGAGATGTGTTACATGTTCTGTTCTGTTCTCCATGTGGCCATGCTCTGTTTCATGGGGCCATGTTCCGTTAATTGATCTTGGTGTCATGTTCTGTTCCATGTGGCTGCGGGGAACTAGGCACCAAAGATACCGGAAGCTTCTACCTGGTGTCGGGCCAGTGCGTGTCCTGCGGACGGGTCAGGCTCCAGGTTTTAGACCTGTCTGCAAGATCAGCGATTCCAGTGGCCAAAGGAGCGCGATTTCGCTGGCCGATGGGCAAACATCAGCACCAACTAGCCCATTCTCGGTAGCGCTGCAAGCGACGTTGCTCAAACTTCCACGGCTGGAAGTATGGAGAGCCGGCCGCTGTGGTTTACTTACATGAAATTACATGGGATGTTCTTCTCGGTGTCTTCGGTTCTGCGACCTAGAAGGAAGCCATCTGATTCTTTATTACACTCCTCCAATAAAACCGCACCAGCTTCCGTGCTGTGATGTTGCAGGTGAGTATGTCGTGAACCACCTGCGAGGAGTGGCCAGACATGGCTGTGCCAAGACTGAAAAAACTATAAAAAGCTGTGCATAGACATTCACATCACCTTCGTCCAAGAAACGCACGGCCCCAAACCAGGTGAGTTCCGACCAGGGGCAAACGATGGGCCCCACGTGGATGGCGCACCCGAGACTAGCCACGAACTTGGCAGCTGGGCAGCTCGCTAAGAATGAGACCTACATAAACCCTAGGGCTCCTGGCCCATCTCAGGTGGTTAGACCGTAGTTAGACCCCCCTGGCACCCCCAACCATCTTCGAAACAAAGGTGGGCCAGCCCAAACGGGAAAATGACTGAAGACTTCGTTTTCGCTTCACACCGGTCTCCACCGGACACCATGGCTCCGTGAAGCCACACCGGGACGAACGCACGAAGAGTTGGTCACCGGAGAATGACCACTTCGACTCGCGTCTAAAGCGGGGTCCTTCCGACCGGGGGATGTTTGGCCTCCGAACCAATGCAACCTCCCCAATCCATTCAGGTCTGTGTGTTCAAGACATGCCCCACAAACAAGGAAGGCCCAAGCTGCCGTCATGTATGGTACCGTGCGACCATGGGTGTGTAGCTCGGGAGATCTCCCAGGTTTGGTCTCCCGAAAAGATATGTCTCATGGAAATTGACATGGTCTCCAAGCCCCGCACCTCCACCGTCTTCCCGTGGATCTCCACCACCTCCTCCATGACCTCTTAGCAAATGGCGAATGGTTCGCGCAGAACAGAAGCGAAGCGAGAGGCGGCCGGTCTAGTGGTCCCAAAGAAGAGGCGTCTTGAAACCAAAGATCCGTTCGAAACCATGTTCCATGCTCAGTCAACATCCTCCATCAACTCTACTCTGCTTTGGGGATCGGGATCTGAGTCATTTTCCCGACTCAACAGGCTGGAGAACCCCTACACCCAAATGAATTTGTCTAGATCTTCGTTTCTGTGCCATGCTGTGCACGTGTTCGAAAACGAAAGAGTCCACGAGTCTAGGAAATCAGGCTCTGTAAAAAAGGTAAGTATATATAATATATGATGTGTGTCTTTTTCTAGGGAGACCCTGGGTGTGGCTGGGTAGACTGGTCCTCTTTTCCCGAACCTTCCAAAAAGTCGGAACGTCGGAACGCCTGAGAGGTCGGAACCTCGCCCAAAAACACCGGTGCACCGAACTGGCACCGTCCGTCGCCGCCTCGCCTTCTCGCGCACGCCGTGCTGTTGGAACTCCACAAAGCCGAAGCCCTAAAAGCGACCGGGACGGGCCGTTTCTTCCGCCACACGGGTGAAACCACGGGTGAAACCGTTGAGGAAGGAACCAACAATTTGTCATCACCTGTTGACTGAAGACCTTCGGAGGTGGTTCCTGAGTCGTGACCTTGTCGAATCGCTCAGGTTGAAGGTTTGGTATCGCAAGATGAAACCACGCAACTTCCACTATATAAGTTTCATTGGAAACAAAATCTGCAGTTAGGCTCAGGGACCTTTGTAGCTACCGTTGGGCACAGGCGCCTGAGCAGGGTCAAAGGATTTATATAAAACGAAAGACTTGTCATCGCTGAACCGCTTCAATTCGGAAAGCATCCGAAAACCATGCCGAATGACGTCCATTCGGCCCGGACATCGGAACCAACCGACCGACGAAAACCAGTGAAACTCGAGAGGTCGGCGAGGATGAACTCGTTTGACCCCTTCGTTGGAACACCGGGGAAGGTATCGCCAATGAATGGCCGGGTTTAGATACCTGATGTGCAGATGTGAGAGATGTGAGGGACGTAAAGGTCACTCAAACGCTCAAGAGTTTGGACAAATCATCAAACTCTGGGCATGCTGCGCATGACAAGCTGATCCTATAGGAGCACCTTTTTGGACTGCGGAGTTTTGACCGGTCAGAAAGCGGAAGGCTCATGACTTGAAGGACGATGAATGCAAATTGCAAACATTGAACTCTGGCGCAAGTTGCTTGGCAAGGTCACACCTTCCAAGCTCTGGTTGAACGTATTGCCGAAGAGCAAAGTCTGCAGGCTGCTTGGCAAGGTGGCACCTTCCAATCTCTGGTTGAAGTTGTGGCCGAAGGTCAAAGTTTGCAGACTGCATGGCAAGCTGACACCTTCCAGGCTTTGGTTGACGCAGTAGCCGAGGGTCAAAGTCTGAAGGCTACTTAGCAAGGTCACACTTTTGAAGCTCTGCTTAACTTATTTGTTGCCAAAAGTCAAAGTCTGCAGACTGCTTGGCAAGCTGACACCTTCCAGGCTTTGGTTGAAGCAGTAGCCAAGGGTCAAAGTCTGAAGGCTACTGTTACTTGGTGAGGTGACCCCTTACAAGCTCTGGTTGAACGTAGTGCCGAAGGTCAAAGTCTGCAGGCTGCTTGGCAAAGTGACACCTTCCAAGCTCTGGTTGAAGTGGTGGCCGAAGATCAATGAGGCGATTGCATCTGTCACCCTCGACAGCGGGCTGTCTGACCGCATATGTGTAAAACCATCCTGTTACATCTAGGCGTCAAGAAGGATGCCTGCCATAGCAGGCGCAAGTCGCAAG